TCTCTTTGTGTAGTCTATTCTTTTTTTATCGTGGGGATTTCCCCCCATGAATACTTTCGGCTGCGGGGGCAATAGAAATATTATGCCAGACTCCTACCGGTCATACACTAAACATGTTTTACTTCAGTATAAATGTACCTAAGCATAGTTTTGATTGGAACGCACTGCGTGATGAATGTAGATTGTTTTTGGTTTTTCTTAAATTCACTAGAAATCCCTTGTGAAAAAAAAAAACTATGCATAAAAATTGTTGAATATGGCCACAGTTTAAAGAGTCTAACAGTTGTGATATGAATGTACTTTATCACAGCAACGACGGGTGCCTTTTGGCTACACGATGATGGATAATACTTGCGGTTCACGTAAGCCTGTTTTAAACTTACTTAACTCATTTTATATGCAGTTTTCGAACAATACGAGTCACTAAGTAAAGATGATTTCAAATGACAGTCATGCATGTTCCCTCTCATATTTTTTCTTTTGGTAAAATTGTTTGTTAAGTACAGTATCAATAATTAATTATGTAGTGTACACAATCAAGTATTCTACATAATTAACCGATTCGTTGCGGCACCGATTTTCGACAACTTTTAGCTGTGGCGGCGAACAAATATTTCATGACACGCCTGTCATGAAATATTTATTGTGTGTCACGCGTGTCAAGCGCCATCAGACATGTGTAAAAGTAATGTTCTTTTTTATGCTTTTTTCACTTGTTTAGACCTAATTAAGTTTAGTTGACATCAAACATCAGTTACAAACGGAAGGATACTTGTTTTTAGTGGGTAACTACGTGTTTTCTTTAAATTTAACAATCAAAACTGAAAACATTTATAAAAAGAAAGAGTCACGAAACTATTTCGCAGTGCAACACTTGTCAATATATTTTTTCTTGTAGTAATAAAAACTTATCCCGTTCAATATATATTTTAACTTATAAGTATGTACTTACATAATGTTTTGCTTTTGACACAGTATCTATTTCTCATCTCCTAAAAAAACTGGAAAGGGCCGGTATAAGGGGTATTCCACTAAAATTGATGGAAGATTATTTAACCGATAGAAGGCAGCGGGTTCGTGTAAATAATTATACATTAAGTGACGAGTTACCTGTCAAATACGGTGTGCCTCAAGGTAGCATTCTCGGTCCGACACTCTTCTTGGTGTATATTAATGACCTATGCCAGCTTCATCTTTCTAAAGGAAAAATAATTACCTATGCTGACGATACTGCCCTTTTCTTTGTTGATGATTCTTGGGATAATGTTTTTAAGAACTCTCAGGTGGGATTTAATAGGGTCTGTGAATGGCTTAGCTCCAATATCTTGACACTGAATGTTAATAAAACAAAGTACATTGCATTTGGTCATAGAGCTAACCTCCTTCCACCACTGTCGTTGACAATCACATCCCACACCTGTGGTCTTAGACTTTCAGGATGTCACTGTCCCTTAATTGAAAGAACCAATAAAATCAAATATCTTGGCATTTTGATTGATCAGACCTTAACATTTAGACCCCACTTTGAGGTTTTAGTATCCCGACTGCGAAAGCTCATATATATATTCAGAACCTTAAAACATATAGCTGAACGCCGTGTTATATTGGTAGTTTACTTCGCTTTATGTCAATCCATAATTGAATATTGTATAACATCATGGGGAGGAGGAGCCAAAACATACCTCATTGAAGTAGAGAGCACAACGTGCAATTCTTAAAGCAGGTGCTGGTCTTCCTTTCCGTTTTCCTACAGACGAGCTGTATAAAAAATGGGATGTACTAACGGTTAGACAAACTTTCATTCTGCATATTGTGCTTAAACAACACTCTCATCTACGTTATAACCCAGATCTTTTTAAGTATAAACGCCGCAAAGATATAATATGCAAAACTCTAACTTTCAACTCAGCTCTTTCACATAAGTTTTTCTGTTTCTTGGGACCCTTTCTTTATAACAAACTAAATAAAATTTTAGACATATATCCAAAAAATAAATCTAGTTGTAAAATAACATTAAGAAAATTTCTAAAAACCCTTAACTACCAAGAAACTGAGAATCTTCTTTTAACCCAATACTAATACTTTTAATTTACTCAGAAACGTGAATCACTCTTATCACAATCCCTAAAAACCTCTAATAATGATACTCCAGGATTTGCTTCTGTACAATCATAAACACACACACATACACACACACACGCGCGCGCGCGCGCGCGCGCGCAATTACATATATGTTTACACATACACGCTTTCATATACTCACCTATACACGTCCATATCCATTGAATGGATTCAGCAATTCGCCTTATAATGTAACTTTTTATCTCTTTTATGATATAATTCCTCTCTGTATTATTTCTTTCTTTGTATTATATGTAACCTATCCGCGAGGGGGGGCTGGTGACCTGTAACCCAGGTTTTTAATAAAACCTATAATAGGCACCAGTCTCTCACAACGCTAGGTCCTTACTATGTACATCGATATTGTTAACCAGGCAGTAGTTGTGAAGAGATAAATAAACTGAATTGAATTGAATTGAATGTAAATAAATGATATTGAGTAATATTTACAAAATTATTTTATTCCCAATTTCGTGACAACCCTAGCATATTTGCGACGACGGCGTAAATAGTAAATATCTACGCGGGCGGCGGCATCGCCTGATATCAAAGACGTTTCACAACTGTTAGGTGTTTAAACTGTCTGTGCCTGGCTGTTTTACAATATTGTATAATAATATAGCCTAATATTATTAGTTTCAATGATAAAGAAAGGATAATTAAGAAAATAATACGTAACAAAAGTCAAAGGGTTAAAACAAAAATTGGACTATATAATATCAACTAAAAGAATGTGAAAGATAACGGTATGGGAATCACAAATCACAGTCGTTCATTTTGTACAGATTTAATTCGACAGACTGTTAAATACTTATGAGTTCACATTTATTGACTGTTGCTATATTAAATTCGGTAATGTTTGCACATTGACAAAGAAAATAACACGACAACAATTGTCAGGAAATGCAGTGTGGACTGTAGAAATTTATTATTAATAGAATCACTTTATATCAAATTTTTACGTATATACAGAGCTTCAGTTAGTTACCTTCACACAGATATACGCCTTGTCTTTCGCCCGTTTAAAAATAATTAATATCTAAATAATAATTTGCATTTACAATTACTTTATGTCTCTCGTTCACATGGTCGCTAATTCGATCTTGCATGCAAACATTTTTGAATCAGATACAAATTTCATTTCAATTGGTGAATGTTTATCCTATACCATGTGACCGAAAGAAAAATCAATTCGTAATAAATTATAGGTGAACCGACAACAATTAATTATAAACAGATACAAATATTCCACATCAACTGATAAGTTATTTTACACTCGAAAATTGGTATCAAATTCCCACTGATAGAAACATCGGGATGACGAGCACATTGATTAAAAAAATTGTTCACTGTTAACTAAGTATTTTATTTTACACCACCCGATGCCTTTACAGATACCGTAGTTTGCTTTTTTAATAAAAAATAACCTGATTACAAGCTTTTAAGTATAAAAACTTCACCAACAACGATTATGCAATTTTGAATGTACAGAGAAATTATATACTTTAAATAAACAAAGGGTACCTGTTTTCTACAAACCAGCCTAGATTTTTAAATCTATTCGATTTGAAAGAATTTTGACTGCATAAAAAAATATCTCTTCTATAGGGCCTTACCTTACATTCTTACAATAATTTCGTATATCATATCGTCTTTGACAATCTGATGTTTATAAAATTGATGAGTCCACAAGTCCGAGGTAAACTTGTATAAAGTAAATGTCATTACCTAGCCTCTTGTAGACAACACTTGACGTTAGAGGCAATACCAAGGGAAAGCATTTTTAAGCCATTTGAAGTGTAACATATTTCATTTGTTCAAATTCTACATAAAGAGAGCAAGGAAAGGCCGACTAGCACTGTTTGTCCTACCTTTCATTAAAAAAAAAAACTATGTATTTCCACTACAAAAATGCATAATTTCAGTCTTGACTGAATAAGTTTTCCCGATAGTAAGTTCATTGGTCAGTCTTTATAGGAGATGGTGGTAATTACATTTGAATATGGTATGATTAACTATTGCACCGTGGAAGCATTTGAACAGATGGCAAGTGTTACACATGAAGGGATACAATATACCCCGCCGTGACAATCATCACGACGTCAAGTAAAGGACTAATCAATTACACAACACATTTAAGAATTTCCTTTATTTCTATTTTTTTTTTATTTTCTTTTTAATGTCGATTTTTATATGTAAATTAATTTAGCATTAGAGTATGGTAATAACTTCAAGTTTGCGTCCACCTTTTCGTTAGATTATAAACCACTATAAAACAATATCCAACCACACGGAATTTTATCTCACTCTCTCTCTCCTCACACCGATGTCGATCAACAAACTTTCGGCGTTTCAGCGCAACTTAACATTATGTAGACGTTATAAGCGAAAAGAGAACAAACAAAACAAAACAAACATGAAGTTTTTGGGAGCGGTGGCGCGGCATTAGCTATATGTACTCGCCTCCAATGAATTAAATGCAGGAAAAACTTCAGGAAAAGTTTCCCTGACTTAAGTAGTGCAGAAGTCTTGTGTCAGCCGGTATATCTCTTCATAAAAAAGCGAGTGGCTCTCAACAACATTTATTGACAATGTTTCATGTAAGTACCAAGCATTTGTGGTCACAACTGACTACAACACAATTGACAACATCCATGGAATTGAACCCTAAAATGATTGGTACAACATTCTATCCAGTACACTCATGCACATTATCACTTATGACTTAGGAAGCTTCTCTAGTCTCAAGCCGCAGCCAACCCGCACATTTTAACTTTAAATTATACATAATATTATGTTTTACATTTATGTAAGAGCTGTTGATTGTAAAAAAATTATATGTAGTACGATTGTTAAATCCCTATAAATGCTGAGTTGGTTTATTTATCGAGAGCTGTGTTTGCCTTTACTGCAATAACGCATTCTTCACCGCAGGACTTGAGCACAGTGCACTGAAAAGAAGAAAAAGTCAATTGATTAGTTATATTGTGCATACAAAACTATTAAATATGTATTCAGATGTCTCACATTACAGCTAAACATACATATTTAAGGAATATGGTAAAAAAAATGAATGGTAATATGAACATTAGGGGTTTATTTTGTCCTTTATATTTCAGTTTTCCTAACAATATTTGTTATTCTGAAATAAAGCTAACAATATTTTTTATTTCGAATCAAAGCAATGATTTTGTAACAATTAACAATCTCACATGTCAGAATTAAATTAATATTAGGGAAGAATTTTGAGTATAATTAAATTTGAAAGCACTTCCTCTGGTTATAAATAGTTAAACAATGAAAAATGTGTAGATTTCATTTATTAACATGAGAAAATTAGTTTTCGTTTTTCAAACAACATTATTTTCAAATGTAAAATGAAGATAATTTAAAATGAAAAATTATGTACAATCGACTTCAATATAAATTATTAAGAATAACTCAAAAACTATTGGTCAGACCTTGATCAAATTTATATGGGACCACATGTGAAGCACCAGCTATCGAATAAAAAAAGAATCATCGAAATCGGTTCACCCAGTAAAAAGTTATGAGGTATCACACATAAAAAAAACATACATTCGAATTGAGTACCGTCTTCTTTATGAAGTCGATAGAAAAATGAGGCGTTGTGCTGAGTAGGCCTCCTAGTACATATTTATTTTATTCTATAGTGACTATTATTGTCCTCTAAACTTTAAATCCATATAGCTGGCGGAGAATGCAAGCTCAGGTTATAGCCAGAGTTTTTCTCTACGAGTTCATTTAGCACCAACAAACTAATGAAGTCTGTCAGAGACTCTATACTCGATATCTTTAGCCTTGGTCACTATAATGTACACATAAAATCACAATGAAATATGAAATGCATGAATGGTTAATGAATATTCAAATTCAAATGAGTAATATGTATGTTTTTTTTAATCAATAAACCTGTATGTGACTTCTTTAAAGAAAACATTTCATATAATAAACTACTATAGTAAGCTAATATTGTTAATGAATTTATATAACTCATGTGCCATGGCTTTCTTATTAATTTTAATATTTTTTTATATACATCCCGTGAGTGTCATGAGGCAATTATAGAAAATGTTAGAAAGATCTTATAGATTCCGATAGATTGTGGTATAAATAAACACAACCCTCTTACCAGTCGTAAAATACACAGGTCAAAGGTGCGAGACGTTTTTATGCCCCGACGAAAACAGAGGAGTGTTATATGTTTGTCGTGTGTAGTATCTGTGTGTCTGTCTGTCTGTGGCATCATAGCTCCTGAACAAATGAACCGATTTGATTTAGTTTTTTTTCTTTTGAAAGGCGTCTTACTCGAGTGTTCTTAGCTGTTTTAAGAAAATCTGTTCAGCCATTTGAAGATCATCAGCTCTTATTGTTTCGGGGGTATTTTTTTTTTACAGTTATGGACTACGATCGTCAATTTGCTTGCGATAACTGCAAATCCTTCCTACAACAGAATATGTCCAGCAATGTAGTTTTATGAGCTAATAAACGCTTATAATAGCGGCTTGAGTTTACACAGTTGCAGGCGTAACGCAAGCGGTGATACGTTTGTATAGTTTTATTATTATATATAATAACCTCCAGACTGAATTTCGGTCACCTTGGCCATGCTCAATGGAGACTAGCCATCAACGCAGGACAGGATTATATATAGTACACACTACTATCTATTCCCTCACTCATAGTTCGATGTGACGGTAAACCGACACGACCAGAGAAAGATCAAGCACAGGAAATCGGCTTTACGTGCTTTCCGAGGCACATGGGGTGAGACACTGTCTACTTGCTGACTCAGGGCAACTACTGAGAATTTCTTAATCATCATCATGATCATCATTATAGTCTTTCATAAGTCCACTGCTGAACATAGGCCTCCCCAAGGAATGCCACAAAGCACGGTCCTGAGCCACCTGCATCCATCGACTTCCTGCATGTCTTACCAGGTCGTCATTCCATCTCGTGGGGGGTTGCCCTACACTTCGCCTTCCGATACGAAGCTGCCACTCAACAACCTTTCTTCCCCATCGGTTGTCGATTCTTCGAGCTATATGGCCGGCCCACTGCCATTTCAGCTTACTAATCCGTTGGGCTACGTCGGTTACTCTGGTTCTACTGCGGATATACTCATTTCTAAGTTTATCACGCAGAGAAACCCCGAGCATAGCCCTCTCTATAGCTCGTTGAGCGACTTTGAGCTTCCTCATACGGCCAGCAGTGAAGGACCACGTCTCAGATCCGTAAGTCATCACTGGAAACACGCACTGGTTGTACAATTTCGTTTTAAGGTTTTGAGGTATGTCTGACGAGAAGATGTGTCGTAGTTTCCCGAACGCTGCCCAGCCGAGTTGAATCCGTCGATTGACCTCTCGGTCGAAGTTGGACTTACCTAGTCAGACTATTTGTCCCAGGTAAACATACTCGTCAACAACTACGAGCGTAGTGCTCCCAACAACTACCGGCATAGGTGTGACATGGACATTAAACATGATCTTTGTTTTGTCCATGTTCATCCTAAGACCTATTCGCTGGAAGACACTATTGAGGTCGTTGAGCATGGTGCTTAGGTCCTCCAGCGATTCTGCCATAAGGACTACATCGTCGGCAAATCAAAGGTGAGTGATGTACTCGCCATTGATGTTGATACCGTATCCTTTCCAGTCCAGAAGCTTGAAAACGTCTTCCAATGCAGCGGTGAAGAGTTTCGGGGATCTGATGTCACCCTATCTTACACCTCTCTGCAATTGGATAGGTTTCGTACTCTGGTTCTGTACTCGGATAGCCATCGTAACTCTACTGTACAAACACTTCAGAACTTCGATATACCGACAGTCAACTTGGCACCGCTGAAGGGACTGCAGCACCGCCCAAATTCGACGGAATCAAAGGCTTTCTCATAGTCCACATACGCCAGACATAGTGGCAAATTGTACTCTTGGACTTCTGTACAATTTGCCGAAGGGTATGTATGTGGTCTATGGTGCTAAAGCCCTTTCGGAAACCGGCTTGTTCGGGAGGCTGGAAGTCGTCAAGTCTGCGTGCGAGACGATTCGTAATGACTCTCGAAAACAGCACGTAGACGCGGCTCAGAAGGGAAATCGGTCTGTAGTTCTTCAAGAGAGCGTTGTCGCCTTTCTTGAAGAACAAGACCACCGCACTTCTGCTCCACGCCTCCGGTGTAATGTCACCATGGAGGACGGAATTAAAGAGTTTCTGAAGGACTTCAAGTACCGGTCTTCCACCCGCTTTCAGAAGCTCCGCTATAATTCCATCCTCGCCTGGGGCCTTGCCGTTTTTAAGGTGCTGGAGAGCCATTCTAATCTCGCTCAAACTGACGTCCGGGATATCTTCGGAGTAGTGTCGGATAAGACTCGCTCTTGGATCGGTCCTCACACTTGCGTGTGTCTCCAACGATAACGTGTACAGCTGCCCATAGAACCTCTCAATCTCACTCAAAATCTCAGGTGCCCCGGAAACGATGCTGCCACATTCGGTCTTTAGCTTTGACAATTGGCTCTTTCTGGCACACAGATCTCTGGCAAAGACTTTGGAGCCTTGGTTCCGCTCGATCGCTTCTTCAATACGAGCTGTATTGAAGTTGCGTAAGTCCCGCCGCATGCATTTGGAGATCTGTCTGTTCAGTTGCCTGTATGCTGTCAAATCTGTTGAAGAGTGTAGTTTCATCTCCCGTCTAACAGTCATAACATTAAGAGTGTGATCGGAGAGTTTTTGTGTTCTTCTGCGGTGGGTCTTGCAGAACTTATCTCCGACCGCATGGACAGTTTCCACGAGCTTGTCATTCATATCGTCCACTTCATTGCCGTCTTCTAGGCACTGAAAACGGTTTTGTAACTCGAGCTGAAAGGTTTCGGAACTTTGAAACAGAGCACGAGTGGGACGGAGCATTGACTTCATTAGACGAGGCCTCTCCAACTTAACTCTACCATTCGGTGATCGCTACCAGTTTTCACACTCGCGATCACGGAGACATCACTGAACGATCACGGAGACATCACTGAACAGTTGTCGTCTGGTCGTCATAATGAAGTCAATCTTATTTTTTGTGGAACCGTTGGGACTCGACCAGGTCCACTTCCTGTGGGGCCGCTTCTGGAAGAAAGAGTTCATCATAAAGAGTCCCTCTTTCTCCATGAAGTCGGCCAGCTGCTGGCCCCTTGGGTTCCGTTGCCCTATTCCAAATTTCCCTACTTTCAGCTCACCATTCTCTCTTGTGTCTAGTTTTGCATTGAAGTCTCCCATTAACACCGTATATTGGGTTTTGGAGGAATGCATGGCTCGAGAGATATTCTCATACATTTCCTCCACCTCCTCATCGGGGTGTGCCGAGGTTGGTGCGTAAACCTGTATGACCTTCAGCTAATACCGTTTGGTGATTCTGAGTATAAGGTACGCAACCCTCGTCGACACACTCTCAATCTTTACGACGTTGTTAACGAGAGACTTGTGGACGATAAATCCGACACCTCCTTGGGACAGATGGTCGCCCTCCCGGTGATAGAGCAAGTTGCCGGATTCGAAGATTACCGTGTCCTCCCCCTTTTTTCGGACTTCGGATAATCCTATAATATGCCAGCGTAACTTGTCTATCTCTTCTTCCAGCTCCATGATCTTCTCGTCAGTCCTCAGGGTGCGTGCGTTGTATGTTGCCAGGTCGAGTCGTTTTGGGTGGCAACCGAACCTCCACCGGAGATTCTTAGCACCCCCTGCCCCGCCGTTACCATGGTCGCCACCGTAGCCTGGAATAGCGGTGCCGCCGGGGACTGGGGGCCGTTTCTTTGTTACTCTCATCATAGGGGGGTATTTGTCATAGTTGCCACGCTTGGCGAGCGGGTTGGCAACCGCAGTTTTTTTATTGTAAGTTTGTTGTTATCAGGAAGATGCTGCAGCCCATCTCCTGCCTGTTTCCCTTTGTCGCCTTTTACGACACCCTCGGGAAGATATGGGGTAGTGGATAATCTTAACCGCCACTACACGGCTTTCTTAATGGAAAAACTCAATAACCGATTTTTTGGACCCGACCCGGAATTCGAATCCGGGATCAGCAGTCGCGTTAAAAATCACTAGACCAACGAGGCAGTCAATCATATTATATATTACAACTATTAGCTACAATGCATACGTCAAACGCAAAAATTATTTGTGCCTTAAACTTTACAAAATTTTTTGACTATAGTTACTACAATAAACGCAGCTGATTTAAATCAGTTACCGTTAATGGATGGTTAATATTTTCCTGCCTGGAACCACAAACTAGTCTAATGGATTTGTTCCTTTAGTACTAATGTTTGCAACTAAAATCATTTACTTGCTCATGTTAATATTTTCCTTGATAACTGCGTGTACACTTCTTGTAGTCTTAATTGTTAATATCAAGGACCATTATGGGTATTAATCTTGTAACAAAGACTAAAATAAAGAGCATATTTAAGTCAGTTTAAAATGTTCTGCATTTAACAAGACACAACAGGCAGACTCAAAGATTTTACTTATTAATTATTATGATAATAAAAAACTTTTATTCCATATATTGATGTTCGGAGTTTAATTCCCATTATGTAATGAATAAATTAAAAAAATTGTTGTCTTTTGACGTAGTTTAACAATGTCTATGCATACTTATTGTACTGGACGTAGTGGATCAATAACAAGGCAAATATAAACAAAAGTTTTAGAATATATAAAATGTAGGTAATATGTTAGCAATAAGCGGCAGGGGCTGCCAAAGACAAACTTGTATCAACCACTCAAAGACAGCCTAGGTATTGATTAAGCGTAATTTGAATCTAAATGCTTCCACTATGTTTCTTTTTATGAATTCTTTATTAACGGTCGACCAAATTACGTAAAATCTATAGTCGACGAATAAATCTTAGTTTATCATTTAAAATAGGCAAATAGAAGTTTGTAATTTTTTAGGTTTTTATTTCATAAATTATAATCCAAATATTTATGATAAATTACGAATAAAATTATTTTATGTCGTAATAAAAATATCGCGGTTAAAGATAACTTATGAACTTTTGGTGATTACTTTCTTTAATCAAAAATTAAACATGTATTGAACTTGAACTATAGTTACAAACGATAATTCTAATATTTATATAAATTAAGTACTATCATTCTGAAGTGTAGGTATGTAAGTAACCTTAAAGGATTTTCAATTAAAATTATATGAAAAATGAGTGTAATAATGAAAAGAAAATTTTTGGGAACAATATAAGTAGCTAGGTTTTTTAAAAGTGAATCATACAAGCTGTTCCCCGCGACTTCGCTCGCGTGTAATTTAGGTTTTTAATTAATTTTCTTTCTCTAATTTTTTTTCTCAAATATAGGTAGCCTAAGAAGTTACTCCTTATAACATCAGCTATCTGCCAGTGAAAGTACCATCGAAATTGGTCCAGCAGTTTTGGAGATTAGCCGGAACAAACAGACAGACAGACAAATTTTAAAATTGTGTTTTTGTTATAAATGCCGTATATACATACTTTCATACATTACAAATAGACACTTCAATTTTATTTATATGTATAGATATTGCTCCCAACTCAAGTAGAACAGGGAACCGGTAAACTATCAAATTTTTTATCATTTAGTTTTTATGGGTAAAATGTATAATTATAAAATAATATTTTTGTTCTCATTAATTTTTCATATTAAAATTGTTTTCATAGATTTTATACGTATTTATTTAAAGCAGTCAGACTCAAAATAAATGACTTGATTTAAGAACTGAAGTTGGTCTGTGTGAGCGAAAATATGCGAAATTTAAAGGACGTTAAGCGACAGCGTCATCAAAAAAAAACAATGGCCAAATTTCTATAGGAGCTGGACTTGACTTTTATATTTCATGTCCCAAAACAAACTATAGCTAGATTGGTTTGTTTTTATGTTGTAAACACTATTCAGTTTTAAAATCATATCTAAATAGCCACAATGTTTTATAATAACGTCAACAATACTTTTGGGGTTAGAATAAACAACAGTTACCTTTTATCCAACTGCTACGAAGTATAAAAGGTTAGTAAGCTATAATCGAAGAGGGTAATTAGCGATCTCGTTTCCATTTATTTCGATTTCTTTCAGATCATTATCATCAGTATCACAATCCACAACAACGAGTGAAGCAAATAAAATGATGCAAATTATTGCCGGGTGACAATCAATAGCGTCGACCGATGACCACAGATTCCTTTTTTTATTTATTTTTTTCATTTAAAAGATTATGTAACATGTCGATGACAAGTGACGTTCCGTTGTTAGTAATTGAACAAAACGCTTAGCTTACTATGAAGCTACATAAATATTTTTGACATGAATCCAGTACATTATAAATCAGTATAGTGGTTGATTTGATGCGTATATATACTAATACAATTAATAACTATTCAGAAAAATGTAAATAATTATAGTTTGAATACTTTCGTACGCAAAATGAATCGTCATTACGTACGTTCTAGTGCGTTCTGAAACCATTATTTTAAATAATTTCGGAGTAGTTACAAAAACAAAAATAAATGGATAACTTTTTTTTGTTGCTACTTAGGGAGGTATTTTTTGTGTTATTTAAGACCTTAAAAAATAAGAGTATTTTTAATAAATATGGCATATAGTGACGCCATCGTTTCGTCGTCTGGTACGATTTGACCAACCTTCTTTACTGATCTTAGTTGTATAAATACTTAATTAAAATATTTAGATTGTGTTGTCGGTGGTTGCTTGAATGACGGGTCGTATGTTTCAATGTTTTTACGTCAGAAAACTGGAACTAGAACTTATAAAACCTGTGGTGTTAATTATTTATAACATTAATATATTTTAACAACTCACCAGCAACTCCTTGCCGCTATCGAAATCGGAGCGAAGTTGGGCGCCAAGGTCGCCATCGGGTATCTTAAGGTCCTCGCGCAGGTCACCGTTGTCAGCCATAAGGGTCAGGTATCCATCGTCGGATATGTCGGTCAGTTGGTAGTCTTCACGCTTCACGTGAGGTACGTCCATATTGTGGGTGGAGGGACAGATATCTTCGTATCTGAATGCGAAAATTAGCGATATTAAAATAAAAATCTCTCCTTTCTTAAATGCAAATCATAAAATCATGATTCAGATTTATCTGATGATAATAATGAAACCAGTCAAATATACATTGCAACAATTCCTAAATTTACATCCTACTGCTAGAAACAGACCCACTCTCATTTTTGGGAGGGTTATAGAGCTATTAATCTGACGCACTGCTCTAATGAGTGTTCTGTTGGCGAACTTTACTTGTCCTCGAAATATTTAACAACTTAGATATACAGATTTTCTCACAATGTTAGCCTCTACATCGTCGAGCACGTGGTAAATCAGCAGATCAGCACTTAAAATTGAAATTAACAATCTAAGGTACGAGGGCGACACTGAAAGTTTTTAGAACTGGCCACTTGTAAACGATATAATAAAAAAAAATAAGTAAAATTTTGAAAATGGAACTCTGCTAATATTATTGTGTACGTAGTTTATTAATTTGTCATTTGTTTACGATTTGGCGGCAAATTGAAAATTGTCTGTCACGTCACCATGAATTTAACATGAGAAAATTTTCTTACAATGATTTTTTATGAGTTTCGATGTCAAGTCAGCAAGACAGTTATTATAGACTTCGATTGGCCTGTCACGATGAAGCTCCATCTCGTGCCACTGTTAACAACTGGTTTAATGAGTTTAAACGTGGTCGCACTAATCTCACCGATGATCTGCGTGAGGGACGGCCTTCTACGGCGACGACTGAAGATAAATCAGTGATATGCGTGAGACTGACAAAGGAGTGACCTATCAGCAGTTCTGACAAGCTTAGAAACACAAAATCCTCCATGAACATTTAGCTGTCAGGAAGCTTTGTGCCCGGGATACCCCATAATTTGACAGAGGCCCGAAAACTCCGTCGTGTTGATTGGTGTCGTGAAATAGTTCAAAGATTTAACAGAGGTGACTCAAATGCTGTGTTCGACATATTTACGGGTGACGAAAGCTGGATTTATTGTTATATTTTTTAATTATTTTAAAAAACGTTACCCCCACACACTAGGATTTTCTCCTGTGTCGTGGAGGCAGTTTACAAACATACATTGCACGAGGACAACCATCCAGACCCGGAATAATTAATTGTAGGCCATACAAATACTTGTTACATGCGGGATTCGAACCCGCGGCCCCCAGCGCAACAACACATTGCTAAGCCACTGCGCCACGGAGCTGTCAAATTAGTCAAGTTATGATCCTGAAACTAAGAGACAATCCTGCTGTCTGGGAGTTTCCTTCCGAGGATTTGCCAACTAAAGTGAAGAGAGGTCGAAGCGTGGGAAACAAGATGGTGGCCTCGTTCTTCGGAAGGACAGGTCATTACGCAACAATTGTTTTAGAGGATCGAAAAACTTAGGGGTACAAAAATACTCCACCACATACATAATTAGTGGTAAGGTGCCGTGGTAGCTCAAAGGCTACGCGCTTCGGTGAAGGAAAACATCGAAAGGAAACTTGCATGTCAAAGAAATAAGAAAAAATATTACGGAGACAACACGGCAGCGCGGCAGACATTTCCTTGTCTAAACTCTCTCAGAAATGAGGAGGCATGTGCCCAGCAGTAGAACGTATATAGGCTGTAACTTTACATACATAATTAGAAATAATATCATCTATTTCAAACCATCTCTTCTGAAAATACCACTCATAAAATCATAATGCCATAACGTCAATCTGATCATAATGATGTAATTCGTTAATTTTTATTAAGGCAGCAATTCTTTACTAAAGTATCAAAAAGTTATGCTGGGCAATGTTTAGTGTGTCATGATGCGTATAAACACAGCACATTGCCCATATTTTATGAAACATTTTTATCTGGACTACATGCAGTTTTATGAACAATGTCTGTACACTTACAATATGAAGTCTGTTCAGTGAAAGTTGATAAAAAGCAGGCTCCCTAAGCTGATTACAAATTGCAGCCCGCTAATTATTTTTGCTGGTAGATAATAAAAAAGCAGCCGCGTCAGCTATCAGCCTGGCCTGTCACTTGACAACAGCTGCAGTCTCGTACCACAAAACTGTAGTTGCAGCGATAAGCGAAGCCAGTCATAGAAATTGCGATGCGATAAAGAGACAGTCGCTATTGCGAGAAGTTTTTTAAATTTGTATTTTTCACAAATTTGGCTCGGGTTGGGCTAGAAGCCAGATATCTTGATAAGTGATAACTAGGGCATTTAGATATTCTATTACAATATCAACAATTATTATTTGGGAGGTTTGTATTCCTGGACGGTGATCCCAAGGCGCAGGAGTGCTTTGAGACGCATAGTCGGAACTAATCTTTAATATTCGAGTACCCTCAGCACAAGAACAATATTAGATTGCACTTGCGACTCTATGGGCTCGCAACATTATTGTAGGATGTTTTTTAACTGATAAGTCATAGTGTGATTATTAGATTTTTCATCTCAAGGCTTTTTTTAGCATTACACCAAATAAGAGCATATTTTCGTGAGTATATGGACTATGATGCCCATTGCATCTAAAAATCTTGGAAAACCTTTCAATAAAACGATGTTGGAATGGGAACTAAATGAAGAACATCATTATTAGATACACTTATAGTTAAAAAATAATAAACATGCAGCTTTTTATATTTTTTGATGTATCAAATAAATACTATTTCAGGTTACAGGTTACAAAACTAAGGTTTACCTTATGTGTATAATAAGGAATTTGTTAAGAAGTAATAATATACACAATGTTAAATATAAAATCACTTAAAGCTTACATGAACTAAAGCATATTTGGTTATATAGTTTGAAGAGCCAATAACCAATGGGGAAAAAAAGTTCTCGAGTGGCAGCCTCGTGCCGGTAGGCAAAGTGAAGGGCAACCCCCCACTAGATGGAGCGACGACCTGGTAAGACATGCAGGAAGTAGATGGATGCAGATGGCTCAGGACCATGCTTTGTGGCATTTGTTGGGGGAGGCCTATGTTCAGCAGTGAACTTGTGAAGGGTTGTAATGATGATGATGATGAAGTTTCCTTATTAGCAAATAAGCATGCTTAAAAGAAAATTTGAATACAAAAAATACATTTTTTTATCATTATATGCAGATCTTCTAACATCTAAAAATAGACAAGTGTGTAAGTGTAATAAGTCTTATTTATTTTAATAAGAGCACAGAAATAAGATGAAGTATTTTATTAGAACTACATTTTAAAATTTCAAAGTTAATTAATGTTTGAAGCTGAAGCAGATGTATTATTGGATTATGTTATAGATTTCTAAAAGTATAATTCTATAACAATGTATAAAAACTTACTTTTTTCCATTGAAAATATCAATTCCGACCAAATGAACCTTGGCATGACCGTGCTTTCCAGTTTTGGAGGTAGACATCTCGACGATTTTGCAGGGACGACCTTTCAGCATTACAAATCCATTTTTGCGCAGGGCAGAGCACTGCATGGGGAAGGTTGCGGAGGCTCCGGAGTCTCCGGTCTCGAAGTGTGTGTCCTCGATGTCACCCATTGTGTTGTTTTAAGGAGTTTAACTATGGTTTGAAATGATCTGCAGAAACAAGTTTAAAAAAATTAATGTTTTGATATTTTAATGATGCTTACAAACTAATGTTCTATATCTAAAAAAAATATGAGAGTTTGAGACTAACCAGATTTGGTAATAATTATGGTTACCGCTATATTAGGTTTTCTGATTTTAACATTTATAATTTCAATGGTCTCAATAGCTTAAGACGGTTAAACTATGAAACAGAGGTGATTAAAAAAAATTGAAGAAAATCTGTAGGATAAACAAGTCCTGTTACATATTCTAGAACTTTTGGAATAAAATAAATGTAAGTTGTCAAACCACTATACTACTTACTCTAATATTTGTAGTAATATAATTAAAATAGAAAATAATATAAATAAAGTTATTCTATATTTTTATTCAATATAGATTATTAGATTATACTTAATTAGTTCACTTTTTTTCCACTGCCTCATAAAAATATATTTCCTAAAAATGGAAAGAGCCTGCAGATTTTTTTTTAAATAGCCTGTATCATATACATTCTTGATAGGTATAATTTAAAATAAAAAATTTTGTACAACCAACTTCAATATATATTATTAAGAATAACTCAAAACTATTGGTCTGACCTTGATCAAATTCATATGGGACCACACGAGAAGTACCAGCTTTCAAATAAAAAAAGAATCATCAAAATTCGTTCACACAGAAAGAAGAACATACAGTTGAATTGAGTACCTCCTCCTGTTTGAAGTCAGTAGAAAATTAAGATATATGGGGGGCAATAATGGCCAGTTGAAAAGAATAAATTAAATGTTGAATGGAATTGAAACAAGAATCCCAGACGGAATACCTACAAGAATTAAACAGGCCTTTACCAACCAATTACAATATAGTAACATAAGAGAAAGACGTTTTGCGATAGGATTTAAAGACTACCCACAGCAACTGGGGTTCTGACAATAATAATAATGATTACAATATTGCAAATAACAGTACCAACTGCTAAGTTACAATAGTAACATCTTGTGAAATAATATTTTTATATAATATGTATTTTTGTAAAAATATTTTAATTTAAGGTATAATTCCTTATTTCAATTAATAATGTTTGCAAATTTAATGTCCTAATACTAAAACTATTGACCTATTTTTACTAAAATTTATTATATCATTTAAGAAAATGTTAAATTAATTATTACTAATTATAATTATACTAGCTGGCCAGGCAGATGTCGTACTGCCCTCTCAGACTTTGTCCTATAAGAATCCTTAAATTACCAATAAAAAATATTGAGGGTCATTTATAGGGATAAAAACTATCTTGTCTCTCAAGTTGGACCAAAATGCACAGTGTGTAAAATTTCATTGAAATCAGTTGAGTAGTTTAGGAGTCCATCACGGACAAACAATGTGATATGTAATTTTTATATATAAAGATTTCACACATGATAGAGTATCATAATTTTCATAACGCCTAATTGTGTTCCTGTACGGTGATCCCAATATACAGTTGTATAATGAGACGCATAGTCGGACTTGGTGTTTAATTTTCGAGTACCCTCAGCACAAAAGCAGTATAAAAACTACATTCGCGACTCTATGGGCTCGTAAATGAAATTGTTTTTTTATTGAATTAAAGTCAAATAAAAAAGATGCAAGCATCCAGTACTACAAACATGGACCAGCTTGCAAATATTACCTATCAATAGTAGAGGTCTAAATGCTGCTGTGGACAGCGGTTTAAGTAATTTATATAATATATTATTCTATTCTAGGCTAGTAAAATAAAATATGAAACTAAATCTTAGATCAAATTAATATAAAAGTATAAACTACAACATCAACTTTGTAATATCAAGCATTAAAAAGACATGGAATGCAATAAAAAATCATGAATTAAATAGTATCATTAGTAAAATGTGTACTATAATTTTATATCAATTGTTCAAGTATTGATTTGTCATATGAACTAGTTCATTTGGGATAGTTGATATCAGAACTGTGATCTCAGATTGCTCATCAGTTGTGAGTGTAGGTCAGTTTTACAATTTTTCTTTCAAACTGTGTGTAAATTATAAATAAGTATTTTGAATAATATGTAGGTGCTACTTAATAAATGAAAATCTTTTGTGCCTTATATATGTTCATGTACCACAAAAGATAAAGCAGTCCCCGCCATTACATTAGATTTGATAGACCACAAATCCTCACAAAAGAATACCAATTCCTACCAAGGATGATTAGCGAGGATATTAAAATAAAAAAACATCCAATTTCAATAGAGAAGATGGATGGGTGCTGCCATCTGATTGGGATCCTATAATTAAAAAAATTAAATCCAAATCCAAGCGTACTATTATAAGACTTTTGAGCTACTGTAATGTAAGCTCATTCTGGGTAGATTGGACCAAAAATTAATATTCTAAAACTGAAGGTAGCAGAGTTAACTATGACATTGGGATGTTAAACTCACATACAAATTTAATATTTACACCTCATATTGCTAGTATAGTTTTAGGCAAAGTGACTATCACCTTTATGAAAAAAAAAAGTATAGAAAATCTATTTACATAATACTATAAACATAATTCGTGCAAAACACCAGAAGACTCTAATAGGTCATAGGTCCTTTGTTCTGGAATTCTTCAAAATAAATTATTGCAATCAATATTTTTACTAGATTGGGTTAAACACCCAATTCATTCATGATTGACATATGTCCCATCCAATTTTTTGTCCCCAGCCCATGCTAGCCATGTAGACCTCTGACTACATGGCTAGCATGGGCTGGGGACAAAAAATTTATCCCCCGATTATATCCACTGACAAGAGATAAAATTATCTTGTCCTTATGCCAAAGCACGGCAACTGGGAGAATTATATTCCCATTTGACATAATGAAGCCAAATGAAAGATAAAAAAATATACTTTTTTGACATTTGAAAGGGACAATTTTACCCTAGTTCATTGGACGTGTGGGTTTAAGTTTATATTCATACAAAAAATCTAAAGTCTATCTCCCATTTTATCTACTGATATTGTATCCACCAGTGTGCCCGTGCTCGAAGGGTGGATAAAACTAAGCGAGGGGATAAACATTTTCTTCTTTTCCCGGGAATAAAATTGTCTCCTGCCCATGCTAGCTCTGCTGAGGAAACAACTTATCTATATTTTGATTCTTAATTTAGGTGATGTAGGTATCTATGGACCATAGCATCCACTTATCATCAGGTGGATTGTGTATTGTCACCGTTTCTCTTATTACAAAAACCTCAGTACAGCTTTACCAAAATAATAACAACTAAAAAAACAAGCCTATAAAGCAAGTGCAAGACCAGAATTAAACAAAGTAACTATTAACAGTCTATCTAACCAATGCAACCTTGGATCAGTTAACTGTAGATCATGACTCAGTACTGTAAAGAAAAAAAATTGTAGTTCACTGGCCTGTGATATGTCATTGAACTACAACATGAAGTTTTACTCATTCTGAGAGTAAGAAGGTACCTTTTATAAAAACAGTAGAAATAAGGGTGGGTACCTTATCAATAATTCTAAATCTACTACTAAAATATAGGGTAAAACCCCCGGTAGTCAGCCCCACACCAGTACTCAGCCTTTACAGACATTATTTCCATATAAATAGTGTTGAAATTTGTTTACACCTTTAAAATAATGTTTAATTGAATCTGTGTCTCTTTATTGACTAATACGCACACCTACAAACCAATATCATGTCAGGTTGACGAGGTACACTCGTTAATTTGCACTGCTGCCAAAGACATGACTAGATGCGTCTCTATTGCAATTTTTTTCTTAAGGAAACATGCTCGACTTTTTGGTAAATTTTTGTGTGTATTTGTTGTAATTTGTGGTGGATTGTTATATAAAATGTTTATTTTATGACCGAATTTCTACAGCATTTATTCTACTCTCGTGCTTCTTCTGCCACACCCAACTTTCACTACCATACATTAAAGTAGGTACTAACACAGCATTGTGAATTGCCATACGTGCCTTTTTGGACACATTCTGACTTTTCACAATAGAGTGTAGAGCCCCATTCACTCTATTTCCTGCATTCACTCGTCGTTCTATATCCTTATCATATCTACCATCCCTGCTAAACACACATCCCAAATATACATACTCATCTACTTGCTCTACCAAATTATTGACTTAAAGAATATTGGATATGACGAATGCTTTGCATGGTACATTTGAAATGTACTGAATTCGCTGGGGACATATATGAAAATTGGACTTACCTAGTGAAGGACCACGTCTCAGTTCCGTAAGTCATCACTGGCAACACACACTGGTTGTACAATTTCGTTTTAAGGTTTTGAGGTATGTCTGACGAGAAGATGTGTCGTAGTTTCCCGAACGCTGCCCAGCAGAGTTGAATCTGTCAATTGACCTCTCGGTCGAAGTTGGACTTACCTAGTCGGACTATTTGTCCCAGGTAAACATATTCGTCAACAACTTCAAGAGCTTAGTGTTCCTAACAACTACTGGCATAGGTGTGACATGGACGTTAAATACGATTTTTGTATTGTCCATGTTCATCTTAAGACCTATCCGTTGGGAGACGCTATTGAGGTAATTAATATATTATATATTTAGGTCCTCCAGCGATTCTGCCATAAGGACTATATCGTCCACAAATGGAAGTCTAACTTCGACTGAGAGGTCAATCGACAGATTCAACTCTGCTGGGCAGCGTTTGGGAGATTACAACACATCTTCTCGTCAGGCATACCTAAAAACCTCAAAACTAGATTGTACAACCAGTGTGTGTTGTCAGTGATGACCTATGGATCTGAGCTCCTGGCTGTATGAGGAAGCTCAAATTCGCTCAATAAGCTATGGAGAGGACTATGCTCGGTGTTTTTCTTCGTGATAAGACTTAAAACGAGGATATCCGCAGTAGAACCAGAGTAATCGACTTAGCCCAAAGGATTAGTAAGCTGAAGTGGCAATGGGCCTGCCAT